TATTAGATTAAGTAAAACACATCTTTAGAGGTAGTACATGTAGGTTTTCTCAGCATTATTTGATAAGGTACCTTTTATCATTACCTTTTACCACTCAGCATTATTTGCTAAGATAAAGCCTGGTGGCTTTACCTTATTAGATTAAGTAAAACACATCTTTAGAAGTTAAACTAATCAAAGTAAAGAATATGTAGGTTTTCTCAGCATTATTTGACACCAAAATTATGCCATTGATTATTGATATCTACAAACAATCAAACAATTTTCCTGATGAATTTGCTTTTTAGTGCATAACTTGTTAATTTTTATTTCCAATTATTATATGCATTTCAAAAACGCCAAATATAAAAGAATTTTTGAGCTCTTAATTCAGTGACGTCATTTTGTGCTCATTTTACACGAGCGGCAAAAATTCAATTCAATTATCTTGTTTCCTGGAAAGAGTGCTGCACCTTAATAAAAACCAACTTTTAATGGAATCCATGTAACATATCTGTTGAAACTTAAACGCATTTTCTCTTTTCCAAAAAAGGGAGTTTTTCAGAAAAAAAACTTATTAAATATTATAAACTACTAAGAAAAAAAACTGTTGAACAGTTATTTAAATGCTGATATATTTGGTGCCTTAAATGTGAATAATACATTGAATTGGTGACATTATGTTCAATCTGTTGACTATATCTGATGAAATATTTCATCATTCATGAAGTGCATCATTAAAATTATTTAAGGTGTGATGATATTACTATGAAGATGAAAGTCTTTATTGTGAAACAAGTGGAATGTGATTAACAGGTGAAAGAACTGTTATACCAAGCGCAAAGGAACCAATTTTGAGCGGCTGTTTTCTATCAGATTTTTTAAAGTCAATGTTGTCAAAATGGTTTATCGTTATGTTCTTAAAATCATAACTCCTTATTTATTTAACCTACTATTTCAATTATTTTTTGAAAAGTGTTTCTTTTTTTCCCTCAACATTAGAATCTTGACAATTAATATTTTACTCTTGAGTTGCATGATAAAAATGAATTTTTGCTTTAACATAAAGAACTATAGTTAAAACTGTGTCCTATGTTTATATTTTAGCTTATTGTACTGTGTAAACTATGGTTCCCTATCTGAGGTGGAAGGAGAAAATAAACCTAGAGAAAAGGAAGATGAACCTGATAAGGAAGATGAAACAATAAATGAAACTGAAGAAGATGAAACTGTAAATGAAACTGAAGATGATTCTGGAGTAGATAAACATGTAGAAAATGAACCTAAAGAAGATAAATCTGGAGAAGATGAATCTAAAGAAGAGGAATCTGACGAAGATGAAACTGAAGAGGATGAATCTGAAGACGATGAATCTGAAGACGATGAATCTAAAGAAGATAAATCTAAAGAAGACAAACCTGAAGAAGATGAAACTATAGATGAACCTAAAGTAGATGAACCTGAAGAAAATGAAACTGAAGATAAACCTGACGAAAATGAAACTGAAGATAAACCTGACGAAAATGAAACTGAAGATAAACCTGAAGAAAAGGAAACTGAAGAAAATGAACCTGAAGAAAATAAACATGAAGAAAATGAACA